AAATTCGCCCCTTATTCCGCAATCTTTGGGCGTCCATAGGATGGATCTCTCATCCCTTCAGGGGACCCCCTAGCAGATGCCACTCTTTACCGACAGCTTGTCGGTAGTCTGATCTACCTCACCATGACATGTCCAAATATCTCTTATGTTGTCCAAGTGGTCAGTCAGTTTGTCTCTTCTCCTCAACAACCGCACATGATTGTAGTCCTTCGCATTATCAAATACATTCGTGCAACACTTTCACATGGCATTTTCTTTCCTGCATCTCCTTCGTTTAGCTTATCCGCATATGCAGATGCAGATTAGGCAGGATGCCCAAACACTAAACACTCCACTCCTAGAAGTGTAAAAAGCAACCGACCGTTTCCAAATCATCTATTGAAGCTGAGTATGGGCTATGTCATCCGTCTGCAGTGAGATTATATGGCTAAGAGCCCTCCTTGATGATCTTGGCATCTCCTTGTCATCCCTAGTTCCTATTTATGCTGCCAATGTAAGTGCTATCATGATTGCATCCAACCCGGTCTTCCATGAGTAAACCAAGCATATAAAGGTTGACTGTCACTTCATTAAAGACCAGTTTTCTGCTGGAAACATATCTCTGTCGCACATTGCTGACATATTCACGAAGGCTATATAACCCATGCTCGCCACCAGTTTATAGTTGACAAACGGATGCTCGTACCTCAACATCAGTTTGAAGGGGGTGTAGAGACTGATTTATGTTTCTTACATCTTCTTTCCTTTTTTGGATCTTGGGACCATTCTTTTATGTTGTAACTTATGTACACTATCTTTTGTTTTATTCTTTCTTGTAAGATAAGAGCATAACTGTCCTTTCCATAACATTGTATTCTTTCTTATATAAGTTAGTCATTTCTGGGCGTGTGATTCAAGAGAGAACACACCCTTTCATTCTCAGCTTTTCTTCTCTGATTTGATCTAAGTTGACACATCTGGTGGGGGAGCCCATCTACAACCAAACAAAGAGAGAAACCAACCCCAAATCACAAAAACAAATGGGCAGGAGATTAGTAAGTGAAAGCAACTCTCACAAAAACAAAGAATGCACCAATGAGGAGATAAACACCAATTAGGGAGAGTGAAAGGGAGAATTGATCAAGTATTTATCAACCTTTTTTTTGGAATATCAAAGGAAAATTCATTAAACTGAAAAAAAAAACGTTGTACATCTCAAAAAGATAGTTGTCTAGTTGACAAACCAACAACGAAACAAAAATGACACTGTAAAAGAATTAAATTACAAGGATTCAACTCTAAAGAACTCTAGAAATTCTCGAACAGATCAGATTCATTCACTTGAACAAACTCAGGAAGACAGAGAGCCCAAATTGCCATCAAAATGTACATTCCTGCTACAAAAATTCAATGCTCCACCCATTCTCCTCCCTCCTTCCTTCTCTCAAACCCCTCATAATCCAGCTAAGAAACATCATCTTCCTCCCCCTCTCCCTGTCTTCCCACCAACCCCTGATTTAACTCAATCTTGTCCAGTCCTTTTTTCCTTTTTCCCTTTGATGATTTATGGACGAATTTGGAGCAAATTGCCAAAAGTTCTGCTGTAGGACTTAAGCCTTTGGTGGAGTGGAAACCTCCTGGAGAAGGAGTTATTAAGTTAAATTATGATGGCAGCAGCCTAGGTAACCCAGGGCTATCCAGAATTGGGGGAGTTTTCAGAAATTCTGAGGGCCAGATCATAGCTTTATATTCTGGTCCTATTGGTGTGGGAGATTCAGTTAATGCAGAAATCAAAGCTACTCTAAAAGAAGTAAAGTGTTTGCTAAGGAGCTGGGATTGGAACACTTAATCATTGAAGGCTACTCTAAACTGGTTATTGGGTGGATAAAAGAGCCAGAGACTGCATCCCGGTTCTACAGAGGGGCTTTGAGGAGGTTCAGATGGTTAACATCAAACATATCAGTCACAGCTCAATGGGAAAGAAGATCGGCAAATGGGTTGGCAGATTCTTTAGCTAAACAAGGGGTACATAGGAATCAGATTTTTTGGGCTAAGTTGTAATCCTTTTGACACAGTTTGGAGGCAGCACTAGGGGTGGCCACAAGCAAAGCCTTTTACGAGCTATTCAAGCTCGGCTCGTGAAAAGATTGGCTCGACTCGGTTTAAACCAAGCTTCAAGCCAAATTCGAGCCCGATATGTAGACTCGTTTGCTAATCGAGCCAAGCTCGAGCCTAGTGAAGCTCAACTTGTGAGGCTCGCGAGCCTAGTGTTAAATAAATATTTATTATTATATACATACGTACATACATATAAATATATATAATAAATAATTTTATTATATATAATAATATTTTTATTTTTCATGTATAATAGTAAATAATTTTTATATTTCTTAATTTTTGTCTAAAAAATTAAAAAAAAATAATTTTATAAATATAATTTTTATTTTTCAAAAAAAACTTGTCTTATAGTCAAGCTCGAGCTCAAGTCTCTAGCTTGAATCAAGCTCGGGCCTAATACTATTCTTGCGAACCAAGCTCGAATAGCCAAGTATTCAGCTCGGCTCGAATCCACCCCTAGGCAGCACCTCGTGCCTCTATGTGGGACTTTGTAATATGTATCCTTTGTGATCTTTTTCAATAAAATCTTTATTATCTATAAAAAAACAGGATCAATGCATATATTTCCGAAATGAGGAAAAAGTAGTAACCTCCTACAATTCAGGTTATGAATAGAAGATGATAACCCCTGCCACCACATATCAAACCCAATAACTTGAAATACAAGAGATTGTAGGAGATTAGTTCAAAATTAAAGTCATCAATACAATTCAGCCCTTCACTCCCCCCTCTAACAAGCACATCTGCCAAAGAGTTGTCAATCTAGGAATCCATCTGAACTAGTTGTTCAACCTGGAAATCAAAGATCTTGCCTCTGTAATTAGATATTGGGGCCATTATCCCATTAATCCATCCATCCCACTGTGACCTGAAGTTGCCTTCACCACAATATCTCAGTACTCATGAGATGAACCAAGCTTTAATCTATGCAGTAATTGTCAATGGGCCTGATGTGCACCCTGCTCTGCCCCACCCCTGAGGCCACTCTAATGTGTACTATGTAATACCAGCAAAAAAATAGGAAAAGAAGGAAAGAAAAAAAAAAAGAAAGAAACGCAGTAATTAGAGCATCCAAGTTATCAAGGAGTGCCATGCACCCATCAGTCCCTGTGAGTCTGTGACTGTTAGATTCAAAAAGGAATACCTGATCATGGAAGAGAAAAAACTAAGATGAGCAACAGGTACATTTCTAAGTTATCAAGGAGTGCCATGCACCTATCAGTCCCTGTGARTCTGTGACTGTTAGATTCAAAAAGGAATACCTGATCATGGAAGAGAAAAAACTAAGATGAGCAACAGGTACATTTCTGTTGCTTCTGTATATACAGATCAACTGTGGAGGTACATGCATGCCCTCTTCATCTTACTACATTCAGCCACCACTAATTGTGTTATATCATATTGAAATTGACTAACTGAATTAATATATTTCAGTTTCTTCATTTCATTACAGTTTCCAACTTGCAGTTTAATCAATGACCACACTATACAAATACATTATAAAATTCTTGTGCTATTCTTCTTTGTTTTTTGTATTTCTTTCACTTTTTGGATTTTTATACCTTGATTAAATGCCTCCAGAGCAGCTTCCACCTTTAGCCAGTACATTTTTTTACATCCAAGAAAAATTCAAGGTTTTTGCAGTACATGTCCTATAATGAGATTGTTAATGTAAAAGACAAACCATTTTTCCTTGTCCTCAAGCATTGGAGCTGGCTCAATGGATATCATGAACAATACCTAAGAAAAAAATATCAAAGCAGGTCAACAAAACTAATATCAAAAACCAAGAAAAAGAAAAACAGAAAATAAAGTACCACACAATATTCACCAATATTAAATAATTTCACAAAAGTTGGAAATATAGAATAGCTAAAGACAATAAAGCATCTTACGTCACTGGAGGTCACGTGCTAGGGGCCTAGGGCATTTCAGAAGATAATACATCTACGGCAGGCTATGTTACCCGGATACAGCAAGGACATGGCTGGATATGGTATCAGATATGGAATTTACACTAAAAATTGAAGCTTCCAGCATAAAATGGCACTCTTGTTCAGGTGCTCGGGTATCATAGGTGGCAGTTCGCAGGTGATTTTACTAAATTTTTTTTGGCAAGTGATATTACTAAATCCTGGTTTTCCATTCCATTCTGTTCAAAGTTATATTATCCATTGTTAAATATTCCTAGATTGAATATTGAGTAAGTGTATTTATTGGTAACTGTTAAACTTCTATTAGATGTTGAAAAGGAGAGATGCATGCAAGTATGCCAAGCACCCCACTGTCTAGGCTGGCAGCTATCACCTAGCTCTTAACCTTTAACTACTTAAATCCCATGATAATCACCCCCCCCAACAAAAACACTGAGCCCTATTTACCCCTTATTTTGCCAAAGCATCAACAAAGCCATGTGCTGATCTATGAACCAACAAGAGGTTGGTTCCTACTTCCTAGTTCACTACTTCACTTTCCATTGCTTTAATTTCTCTCTCAAAATAGTCCTATATTGCCACATCCCTTGACAGTTGCTTTTTAGCCAGCCCACAACTAGGGTCACCTTCCACCATCAAAGATCTAATATTAAGTAGCCTTTCTAGTCCCAATCTTTGTACTACTGTCAACATCAAAGATCTGATATTAAGTAGTCTTATCCCAACTATATGGGGTCAGCTACATGAATCTTGTTTCACCACTCCATTCTGTTTAATGCCATATCCATTGTTAAATTATGAGCACTTAAATCATTTCCTACTACTTTGACCCATGTCCTTTTTGTCTACCCCCTAGCCCTTCTAGCCCCTTCAACTTTGTAAAGAGACTGGGCCAGATGGGCCCTAGTGCTTGTTTCTGTTAAGTATTTTTACTTTATTTCTTTTATATATTAATGGGCCTTTTCTTCATGGGCCTGCTAGTGTTAACTTATTTTTAATTTCTTAAGTTATTGCTGAGCTGGCCACCCACTTAAGGGCAGACATGTAATTAATCTTGATTTGATCAAATTAATAAAAGATTAGAGAGGGGAGAGAGAAATCCATCGAACTCTCTTCTTCTTCCACTTCTTCTCAAACTTCTTCTCTTCTGCTGTATCTCTCTTCTTTCTTCCTTTTTTTATTGCTGTAATCAGAAAACTAATATCAGATTTAGAGGACTGATTCACATCTAACTTGCAACAGATCACTTCTTACGAGTGATGTCGGTAGTCTTTCTATGCACACGACCAAACCATCTTAGTCTACTTTCTCTCATTTTATCACCTCTACTCCTAAGTTCCTATAAATGACTTCATTTTTGACCCTATGTTTTTAGTTTTTCCACTCATTCATCTCAGAATACACATTTCAACCACACTTTGGACACATTGTTTCTTTAAGTGGTATTCACTCCTCTATCTCTCCCTTGCTATTAATTATCAAACCAAGGTACTGGAAAAGGTCACATTGAGTTATCTCTTGATCCCCAATCCTAAGCATACCTTGATTTGCATTCCTATTATTATTAAATTTGCATAGCATTTATTTTGTTATAGTCCTACTTATTTCAAAACCTCTTTTAAGATATTTGTCCATAAACTAAATGACTTAATGTTGCATTTAATCATTAGTTTCATGATTTTCATCAATTAAAATAATATTATCAGCAAACAACATGCACCATGGGAGCTCCTGCTGAATATGTTTATCATACGTTTAATGCAAATAAATAAGAGCTAAGTTCTAAACTTTGGTGAAGGCTCATCATAACCATAAAATCTGAAGTCTCTCCCACAGGTGTTCTAATGTTGGTTGTTTGCACCCTCATGCATATCCTTAATTAGGTTTATATACATATTTGAAACCCCTTTCTTTTACAAGACCTACTATATTATCTCTTTAGCGACTCTATTATATGCTTTCTCTAGATCAATGAACACCATATGAAGAACACTCTTCTTCTCTATAAACTTTTCTATCAATCGTCTCAAAAGAAAGATAGCTTCCACTGTTGATCTCCCTAGCATAAACAAAAATTGATTCTCAGATCTACTTGTTTCATGTTGTAACCATTGCACAATTATTCTCTCCCAAAGTTTCATAGTGTGGCTCATGAGTTAAATCCCCCAATAGTTATTAAAATATTGTGCATTGCCTTTGTTCTTAAATATAGGCACCATGTTGTTCCTTCTTCATTCATCAGGCATCTTTTTTTTCTTTCATTATCTTATTCAAATACTTGATATTTAAATAGCCTTCTCAGTCCCAAAAAATCCCTAATTTTGGATGGCACCAGCTGCCTCCAAATTCCTTTAACCATAAAAGCCTGTGAGAAGATAGGTTATAGGAAAGAAATTCAAAGAAAGAGGTACAAAAGAAAGTCCTCATGTGGATGCAAATCCAAATTTAAAAGTTAGGTCTAGAGGGGTTATGAAAAACACCTTCAAATAAGGCCCAAAGGTTCAAGACTAAGAGGAACACAAAATCCTCTAGACCTCCCCCGAAACCCAACTATCCAAGTCCTAAGAGATCTGGAAACAGAAGAGGAGGATATAAAGGATATTGGTTTAGCTTTATGGGATGAGATAGAGAACAATAAATGAAACAAATCTTTTAAAGGACTATACCCCCACCAAAGGTCTTCCCAAATTTTTATTTCATAACAAGAACAAGCATCATATCTAATAAAACTCAAGAAAATAGGAAGCAAACCTGAGATGGGTTTCCACAAAGATGTTAAAGTCAATCTTGTATATGAACTAGAATACTAGCAATTTGCATGCACCCCATGAATGTTAATAATCACATCATGCCATGGTCCATCTGTCTCTAGCTGGAATCTTCACATCCACTTACCTAACAAAGCAAAATTCCCCCTTAATCCTTCCTCTTGCACTCTGTATCCGAACTAATCAAGTGATCCCTCTTTGATTCCCTTTTCTCCCATAGGAAATCTCTCATGAACTTCTCCATCCTTTTTGAAATCAAGCTCAATAGTCTAAACATAGAGATGTAAGAAGTAGGTAAATTGACCAAAGTAGAGCTAATTAGTGTCATCCTTCCACCTAATGAGATATAATTTCTCTTTCAAGTAGCCAGTTTTTTTGATAACCAATCAAGAACTAGGTCCCAATAATTTCTAGATCTAGGATTATCCCCAAGTGGAAGACCTAGGGATGTCAACAGGTCAGGTTGCTCCACTTGACCCAAAACAAGTCATTCAAACCTAAACCCGATCCAACCCAACTAGTTGGAATAGGGTTGTTGAACCTGACCCACCCCATCCCATGAACAGCACCACTATTCTTAGCAAAGTCTATGTTTATTTTTTTTTTTCAGTATCATTATATCAGTAGGTTGGGTTTGGCATGGACTAGCCTCAATCCAAACGCGACCTGAAATCCAATTAAGATGAACATGAACCTGACCGATAAGATTGGGTCAAGGCAGCTTAACCCAGCCCACTGACATCCCTATATAGGCCAATGGTCACTGAACACCCTGATATAGTCATATAGATGAATACCACTCTATCTCTTCCTCCCCCAATGTTAGCTCGTGCCATACAACTCTTATCCAAGTTGATTCTCAAATTTGAAAATTTCAAGCATTTTATTAGAAGTTCATGTTCCTCATCCCTACTTCCCCCATGCCCTCACAAAACAACATTATATATCATCAACAGTTTCAAATCAATAGGCTAACAAAAGCATTTAAGACAACTGAAACTCAATGTATGTATCATTAAATATAGGATTTATAAGTCATTAAGTCTATAGCAGTGTTTTAAAAGGCGTGGGAGGCATATGCTCTGGAGGTGAGGCATTCCCAAAACGCCCTGAGGCATATGCCAGAGGCGCTGACACCTCTGAGGCGTACACCTCATGCGCCTCATGCACATCTGATATAAAAAGACAAAAAAAAAAGAAAAAAAAAGAAAAAAAAAAGGAAAGGGAAGGGAAAGAACTACGCCTCATGCCTCTAGGTAGTGGAATGCCTCGCGTCACGCCTCCGTGTTTTAAAACATTGGTCTATAGTGCTTGGTTACCATGTACCCAGAGATAATAGCATTATAAATCCATCTTTAATTTGTTGACAATRTAATCTCGTTCCGTGATGAAGGAGAAGAAGAGAATTGCAGGAACTTAAAAGGGCTCATAAGTCTGTTCTCCTGACCTAAAGGAGAACAAGAGAATTGAAGGGGATTCAAAATTGGTAGTAGGATGGCTGAAGGATCCAGAGTCTATAACCAGGTGTTTTAGGGATGAGATGAAGAAATTTAAATTGCTAACCAGAAACATGAATTTGAGAATACTTTGGATCAGGAGAACAGATAATGCTACAGCAGGTATGTTAGCTAAACAAGGGGTAAAAAGGGACAGTTTGTATTGGGCTTAGTTGTAATTGTCAATTGTAATTTGCTTGATGTGTGAGAGGTAGCACCTCATGCCTCTCTGTGGGGATACTTGCACTGCCTGTTTTTATTGCTCTTTAATAATTACTTACTTTTACTTGTCAAAAAAAAGGGGCTCATAAGTCGATTTGAGAGAACCTCCAGTTTGAAAGAAAATATGGGAAAAAGTTGTGTGGCAGGGGTAAATTGTTAGACAATTTTGTATGCCCTTAGCTTCAAT